CAAAATCTCACTTGGCATCTTCAATGCTCGCGCTCCGAAAACACTTCGAACACAGTGTTCGAAGTGTTTTCGGAGCGCGAGCATTGAAGATGCCAAGTGAGATTTTGGCGAAACGTCTGCAGGATTCCAGTCGGATGCAAGATTTGCAGGATTCCAGTCGGATGCAGGATTCCAGTCGGAGTTCAACGAGCGAACGGATGATATCCCGGAATATAGTGTCATCACATTTTTCCATCCGTGAATCAATACGTGAGAATATATATATATATATATATATATATATATATATATATATATATATATATATATATATATATATATATATCCTACTCCAGGGTCAAACAACGAACGGATGAACAACGTGGTGACTTCCGAGTTCGGAAGTCACAACGTTTCCTACGTAAAACTTTGCCAGTATGACCTTGAGGGCCGTAGCAACGTTCTTGCAAAATTTTCAAATGAAGTCACAAGGTCGACCATTTATCCGTACATTATTTATCCGTACATTATTTATCCGTACATCACACAATTTCGCAGGTCACTAGTTCCAATCCAACATTATCCGAACACTTTATTTAATACTCTTTTCAAGAATTAATGCTTGGATTTTGCAATACTTCTCCAATTATATTCAATTCGCGGATTTTCTCTTCCTCATTTAAGTCGTTTTGATTTTGCCTTGGCTCCTTGTCTGGTTGTTGCTGCCCCGGAAATTATGTGACACAAAATTCAATAAAGCATTAAATTTATGCCCTTAACTGACAGCGACACAATAACTAATACATAAAAAAAATGCCCTATATTTCAGAACTATGATTGCTATATAAAATAAAAAAATAAAATAAAATAAATAAATAAAAAATTTTCATAAATAAAAATGTTATGGGTAACTTTCTAAAGGGCCGAAAATTTAAAAACGCTCTATATCTCGATAGTGAAGATGTCGCCTTGCGGATTTTACAATTAAATGTTTCTCAAGAATGGAATGGAATGGATATATTATTGGGTTGTGAAAAGTCAAGATGTAAAAATGTCCCGACTTCGTTTATATTTTTGCCTTCTTGTAGTAGTAGAAATGCCTTTTTCCCGAGTAGATTTAATAAGTTCGTAAAATTCTATTAAACTGGATTTTCGTTTGGGCTTTCTTGCTAAAATGTAATAATCACTTTTTATCATTTCTTGTACACTAAGAATGCAGCATCAATTGGTCGTATAAAAATCGTGCGGTGCAGGTAGTGGTGGGGGTGAATTTTTCAAAAATTGTCAAGAAATTATTATTTTTTTGTTGTCTACACCATACTGCTCTTAAATTGACAAAACCGCTTTTCAATATTTTTATTCGAAATACTTTATTTTTTTATTTTAAAAACACCGCATAATGCTTTTATATGGGAGTCTCTAATGAATAAAAGCTTGCTCTGAAAACCCATTTTCATGTTATCGTTTACCTCGCTGTAACTTGAAAACTATTTGGTTTATCAAGGAAGTGTTACCTATAATAGATATGCATTGAAGGTCAACGAATCCGTTATTTTTTTGAAAACCCCAATCTGATGGACAGTTTTTTTTAATTAGCAAAATGTGAAACCATGTCGTGAATATCACGGCCACCAGCGAAGCAGCGAGGAAGGGTCGGATTTGCGAGGACGGTCAGGCAAAAAACGACTTTGCGGTTCCGACGTGCGCTTGTACACCCGTAGTTTTCTTTGGGGGAATGAAGTGGTTTTTAATGTGACTAAAATATGTTTATTTTTGTGTTAGAATCATAAATCATAACGCATTAGTTATAATTTTCATCCAAATGGATATTAAAATCAGTACAAGTTCTAATTGCGAACTGGATTCTACAATTAAATTAAAGCCTTTAACGAAAAAAGCTGCTAACACTAAAGGAAAAGTTTTTAACTTCCAATTATGTGTAACTTGTCAATAAGGCGGAGAGCTCATAACGTCAAAACAAATATCCAAACAAAAATTAATTCAATGTGCAAAAATCCGCATGAACATCTGTTAAGGCAAGGATCCTAATGTTCTACATATTTTTTTGAATTTTAATAACATAAGGGAACAAGTTTACAATGACATAAAAACTGTTATAAAACCTATACGAGTTTTAAAATGCGTATTTTGACAGAAACGTTTAAAAAATCCAAAACTCTGACAAGTCATGACTAATATGGAAAAACAAAATTAAAACTCGAAGAAATACGAAATTAAATGCTTCATGCTATTTGACAGAATCACGTAAAACAATAAATAAACTCGCACATGGGGATTTTATTAAAAAAAAATTAAAGGCAAGTTTGTGGATCGAATTAGTGAATTCTCCAAGAAGAAATCTATACCTAGAAGAACCTAGAAATTTTTTGAAACGGTTTTCCAAGGAGCAAGTCATTGAAGCAGTAGTGCATCACAGTTAGACGGAAACATCCAACTATTTATCCTTTGCTTCGTCAGCAATGACAAAATATTAAAATGGAAATAAATGGCATAATTTAAATTTAAAAGTTTGAAAATTAAGAATTATAAAAAGCATATTCCAAATAATTTATATTTTTTAACAAATCTTCTTATCTTCAGCGAAACATGTAATGCCAGGAAATAAACGGAAAAACTTAATATTTGTCAAGATGATGAGTTTAAATGAAATATAACCCTAAACTTATTAGTTTGGGACTGTTAGCCTCTCAGGAGACCAAATCAAAAAAACTGGTTGAAATCAGCCACGCTTGTGGTCACACAGTATCTTACACGGATATTCTGAGCGTCGCTCAAGAAGAAATGTGGAATATGTCGTTCAAATATACACCGGATTCCTTACTAAGTGTTCTCTAATGTTTAAATATTAAAATACAATGGTGGAAAACGGAAAATAATACGTAATTCGTAAAAACAACCTCAAAAGTGACACACTAAAATTATCAAACGTTCAAAAGTCAATCTAGCGTCGCGTTCTCGATTTTTGTTTGTTTATTCGCGTAGCACTCCGTCACTAAGTTACTGTTTTTTAACATCCTCCCGGGTCGCGAAATTGTCGATTTCCAACGGATATAAACACAGCAGATAGATAAAGGGATTTTCAGCCGAACCTAACCTCACTTTTTGGCCCCCATCCACTGGGCCCCCGCCCACGGGCCACTCGCTCAAAGGGTCTTCGCCCCCGGGGCCATATTGGCCACTCGCCCACTGCCCCCCTCCGGTCGTAGGCTTTGGGTCTTCTTCAGTTTTGCGTCCTGGCCGTTCGCCCATGGGCCGTCCGCCCATTGACCACTCGGCCATTGGTCCAAGGTTCATAGGTCGCTCGCCCATAGGCCGCTCGCCTTAACCTAACCAAACCGTC